CATGCCACAATCCCTAGACAACCACCATAGTGTCCATCGCAACGTAAACAAAATAGTACTGAGTGCTCCTTTAAACAACTTTAAAAAATTGTAATGAAAAACAAAATGATGACATTTTAGGCACTAGAAATATTGGCTAAGATTGTTAGTTGACTTCAAGAAGCACAAATAGAATTCTGGGGAATACAGTCTGTTTAGGAATTTGCTTTTTGTACAGGAAAATTCACCATGAAAAGGTTCAGCGCTTAGATTTTAATTGAAGAATATTGTGGTTTAATCAGATATGCAGTCTGCTTTCTTCATTTGTGCATTCTCTCGTTTTCTTCCTCCCTCTCCCTTTTTTCCTCTCTGGCCAATCAGTAGTGAGGAGACAGTATGAGGCAAAACTTACTCTCGGTTGCCGGGTGTGTTACCATGACTACGCAAAGCAGATCCCTGACCTAGTCCATCCTACATGACATGACTTACAGCTTTTCATCTTTCACGTTTCTCAGCTCGTGGGGACTCTGTCAGAGCCCTCAGCATAATTCCCGCATCTCTCTGTGGTGGCGACCCATGTTCTCTGTTTCATTGTCTACTATTGAAATGAGCGGTGTGTTCTCACTGTCTTCCAGAATGTTAAAGCTTGGCTGTGAGGCTGTTTCTCATGTTTGCTTTGGCAGGATCACCTGTCTGCTCCTTTGAGACGGTGTGTTCATTACCCACACACTCCCACAACACATGCCGCTGATGCAATAGCTCTCAATGTCAGTGTGTGAAAGCGTCGTACAAGTGTCAGGCCATACAATTAACAAATGTTGCACATATCTGTGACATCTCTGTATGCGAGTGTCTTGCCTGTGTTTGTTTTATTAAGAAGAATTGTAGCGAGCGATGTGTTGTTATGTATCGCATCAGCCTCAGACGGCACACCCACCGACCGTCCCATTAACCACTACACCAGTCTGTTCAAAGACTGGCTGATGCATATTGCCCACAGAAGTACTTTCTTGATTTGACAAGCTCCAGTCTGATTAAAAGAAAAGTTTCTGAGTTATGTTTGTACTTTGCTCAGACACAAATAATGATCACCGCATTTATACACATTTTCCTCTTTTTCTTGTGTGTGTGTGTTTTCTGTTTAAATGTTCATTGAGCAGTAAGTTTGTCGTAGGAATGTAAATTGTCATGTCATTTCAAATCTGCAATCAAGTAAATAATTAATCACTAACATTAATACAGCCAAATGCATGTGAAAAAAAACTGATAATTGCAATATTTTTTTAATATATTATTTTAATACATTATGTAATTTAAAGACATTTACATGTTTCTATTGATAGTTTAGTAAAGTTACATAAATATTGTAATTACACTACCAAAAAATATTTAAAAATTAAGGGTCAGTAAGATTTAAGAATAAAAGTATACTTTTATTCAGCAAGGATTCATTATATTGATCAAAAGTGAGAACAAAGATTTCAAAAGTTAGAGTGAAGACATTTTTTGTTACAAAAGATTTATATTTCAAATAAAAACTGTTCTGTTTCCATAAAAATATTAAGCATCACAACTGTTTTCAACATTGGTGCTCAAGAAACATTTTTAATATTATCAAACCAGCATATTAGAACGACTTGTGACACTGAAGACTGGAGTAATCATAGGAATCATAGGAATAAATAACATTTTAAAATATATTAGTAGAAAACAGTTCTATAAATGTTGATAATATTTTACAATATTACTGAGTTTACTGTATTTTAAGTAAACACAGCCTTGGTGAGCATAAGAGATATTCAAAAACATAAAAAAAAATTATTGACCCTAAACGTTTGAGCTGTGGTGTATAATTACAAATTTATTTCAATCCACAATATTTTCATACATTTAAACTGAGTTTAGTATGAATTTAGTTTGATTAAATAATTATTTAATACATTTAATAGCAATGTTTGTGTATATACAATATTGAAATATTTAGACATTACATTAGACTTTGAATTGAAGTTAAATGATACCAAAGAGTGTGAATCCAGTGCATAAACTTGGTCACAGTGAGATTTCAGGTGAGATTTTCAGCTGCATACTCTTCCAGTGAGCACTAGCATGATTCTCAGATGGGATGAAGCTGGGAGACCAACAGATGAACATTGCTTGCTGTCATGTTGTACTTTAACACATTATCACAGTTTTTGTAGTGAATGTAATCTTTATTATAGAGAAACAGTCCAACTCTGATTATGTTGAGCCCGGTTTATTTGGCAGTTCTTGGCCAGAACGGGCTGCAGTGTGGACCACAATTTATGCCGTTTAGTCAAAGGTCTGGCTACGTGTGACTAGGTGTCATATAGAGCTGAATGTGTGGGAGTTGCATTGAATGATGCAGCAGTTATATGGTGAACCATCTCCAAGTCCTCAACAGCACACATTGATCACGCTGTCCCTGCACGCTGACACTCCAGACACCCACTTTCATCTCCATTAAGTGCACCACATCACACTGGCCAGCAAAGAGACACCCCCACACTCACTCACTTCAAATTTTGTTAGGGCTTCATCACTGTTAAAAGCTGCCCGATGCTGCTGAAGACACAGGCAAGTGTTTAAATTGCTGTAGCTGGTGGACAGTTACACATCTCATTCATATGGAGTGACACTTTGACATTCCATCTGAACTGTTAGCATAGCACAGATACCATTGGGATTTACTGTTTCTGCAAATTCCGTTTGGAATGCGTTGGGATTCCATTCAGATTCCATCCTGTTGGAACCATGCATTCCTCGATAAGCAGCTCAGTTCGGTTTGTGAGCCCAACAACCCATTAAAGCTGTGATGACATGAGAGAAAAAAATTGTATTTTATCCAACCCCCCCCCAAAAAATTTTTTACGTTTTAACAGCAATGTAGGGTTTTTCAACTCAAAAAGGGAAATATTTATGACGAATTATAACTGGTTATGATTCATAATAAATATTTAGATTAGATCTTTGAATTAACTGTAGCAGAATCAATATTACCATTACTTGATCTGTCCGTCCACCGAGCAGACAAAATAATCATTTATCAATTCAAAGAAAGAGTATTTTCCTGGCCAAGGAAGAATAACTTTCCTT